ACATGAAAACCTTTCTAGAACGGTAATTTCCAGTCGATCAATCCATTTGTCAATTAGGAAAAACGTTCAACTTATTGAAAAATAGGTGGGCAACTGGAAATTATTGGTTCTGGAATGGTTCTCATGTCTGTTGGAACAGAGCTAATGGTTAACGTTTGGTTATATTTGGACCATAGCCTTATATAGGTTACGTTCCGATATTAACTCTGTCGGTACTGAATTTACTGGACACCGTTCCGATATTATTTTCAGTAGGTACACTGGATTCAGTCGATTCAGTACTGAATGACCACAAGAGTACCCTGTTGAAATTGGAACGGCAAATGACAGTAAAATCAGCACAGTAAATCCAGTACTGGCAGTTCATATCAGAACATGGTGGTACTTTGTTTAGAAGAAGAAGAAGATGAAGAAAATCAGAAATCTTTTATGAAGAACAGCATAAAACGCAGATTTTCGGTACATGCTGCTTGGAAAAGAATATCTGCAGGAGAGTTTTCCACACTTTAGAGTAGAGTGTTTTCACAGCTATCAGACCAATACCCACCTCTACCACATAAAAACTCCCCTCATACCACTAAAATTCGCCTTACGAGTTTAGCACGATGGAAAGAATACGGATAAAAAAATTGCAATATTGCCTATTTGACTTCCAATAAGAAATACCTTAATATTTATTTATATTATACACCTACATTTATAAGGAAAAAGTAATATTCAAAAACGTTGCACGCTCGCCTATGACAAGCAGCATAAAGCTCGAAATGAATGGCGTTATGTCCCCTTGCTCTTCAGACGTCGTAGTGCTAGACTCGTAAGGCGGACTTTACTCACCTCCACTGTACCCCCTTCCGTGAAGCTCCTAACCTGAGGAGGCACTTTTTACCCACCTGCACTGTAAACCCTCTTCCGTAAAGCCCTCCATTAATCTATTTTCAAAATGCTCTTACCCTGAGATGGCACTTTATTATATCCCTTCACTTTCTTGAAAACTAAAGAATATTTAATCAATTCTTCCATTTGTATTCGATTTCGTCAATTTTGGAGTTGGCCCGGGTCAAATCCCCAAAATTTCAGATCGCCGCCGATTTAGAGATTTTCCCACGGTATCGAAAAACTTCCCAGGCTCAAGTGCCCCCGGCTATCAGACCAATACCCACCTCTAATACGTAAGTGGTTCACCAGATTCACAAGCAAAATATTATTATTGCAATGGAGTTTAGAACACTATTGACGAATACAAATGCAGGAATTGTTGAAATATTCTTTAGTTTTCAAGACAGTGAAGGGATATGGAAAGAGGTACCTCTTCAGAGTAAAAGCTTTTTGACGTAGTGGAGGTGGGTATTGCTCTGATAGCTGTGAGGTGGGTATTGGTCATAAACAGGTGCATTAATTTTATTGCAATAATAAATATTTTGCTTGTGAATCTGCTAGTCTGATAGCTGGGAGCACTTGAGCCTAGGAAGTTTTCCGATACCGTGGGAAAATCTCTAGATCAGCGGCGCCTTTTGAAAATAGATTAATGGTGGGCTATGATGGCTATGCTGGAGGAAGGCTTTTACGTGGTAGAAGTGAGTATTGTTCTGATAGCTATGAGCTCTTTACCCTTATAGTCGTCCTTTTTTTCCAATTTTAGCAGACACCGTAAAAAACTAACGCAAGCACCAAGCAACACTAGTTTCCGCAGCTGGAAAACGAATATGGAAAGGTGTGAACTACGTTGTTTGAAATGTATTACCATTCCCTTCTTAAACACTCGTCCGAATGAAAATTAATGAATGCTGGTAAACGTTTTTGGGCGTGGCTTCTAGAGAAGTTTTTTCGCCACCAGCAAATCTGAGAAACCTGAAGGACCCAAATATTTTTTTATTTATTAAAGAAGCTTTTAGCTTCAACATACTGAAATTTTATGGAAAAATAGCCCAAAATAACGGAGCTATGATTTTTACAATCCGATAAACACATTTAATGATATTTCTGTCTTAAAGTCAATGGTCTAGATATATATATTTTTTTTTTCTGGAAATCTGGGAAATCTAGAGGAACCAAATATTTTTTTATTTATTGAATAAGCTTCGAGCTTTAGCATACTAAAAATCTGTGGAAAAATAGCGCAACATAATGGAACTATGATTTTTGTAATCCGATAAACAAATTTAGTGATATTTCTGCCTTAGAGTCGATGGTCTAATTTTTGATTTTTTTTCTGGAAATCTGGGAAACCTAGAGGAACCAAATATTTTTTCAATTATTAAAGAAGCTTTCAGCTTTAGCATACTAAAATTTTATGGAAAAATAGCCCAACTTAACGAAGCTATGATTTTTACAATCCGATAAACACATTTAGTGATATTTCTGCCTTAAAGTCGATGGTCTAATTTTTTATTTTTTTTCTGGAAATCTGGGAAATCTAGAGAAACCAAATATTTTTTTATTTATTAAAGAAGCTTTCAGCTTCAACATACTAAAATTTTATGGAAAAAAAGTCCAACATAACGGAGCCATGATTTTCACAATCCGATAAAACACACTGAGTGATATTTCTGCCTTAGAGTCAATGGTTTAGTTTTTGATTTTTTTTTCTGAAAATCTGGGAATCCTGGAAGAACTAGATATTTTTCTATTTATTGAGGAAGCTTTTAGCTTCAACATAATAAAATTTTATTGGAAAATAGCCCAGGATAACGGAGCTATACTTTTCACAATCCGATAAAACACACTGACTGATATTCCTGTCTTAAGGCCCCATACACTTCGATGAAACACGACGGTTTTCTACCACACACTTCGGTTTTGGAACGACGTGTTTCATCGCGGCGATGAAAACCGTCTTGTTTTATCGTAGTGTATGGGGCTCTTTAGAGTCAATGGTGGATAGCACGGATTGCTAATTTCGTTTTCTCACAAGCATGAGAAGAATTAGGATTGAGAATGAACTGGTTTTTGATATATATCAAATAGAATATGGAAAAATCTAATAGAAAGAATCTTGGCCGAAGATGGAGAAGCGATCATGGATCATAATTCTACGTCAACTTAAACCTTGGAGAAGTCAGATAATCGTTTGAAAAATATTTTCAATTCATCAAATTAGGGTTCAATCCAATTCTTAGAGTATCGATAATTCAATCCAACTTTATTTTCAAGAATTGACTTGTGCCTAAACTCATCATCTATTTCAACTTTGAGAAAAAATTAATAAAAGATCCGTTGAAGGCTCTTTGTAAAATTTCTAAATTGAAAAGCGCACATGACAAATTGCTATTTGAAACATAGAGACACGAAACAAAAACTTCAAAAGCCGGATGATACAATAAAGTTGATCGATGGGCCAGTCGTTTTCGGTGTCGTTAAAATTGGCTAGACAGGCGAAATAAATTTCGAAACAAAAATTTGGCGAGGGTGCATATTAAATTGGAAACTTTTTTTTCCGAAAATTATGCGCAACAGCTTTGAACGGCTTCATATTAAAAAAGTTCTAGGGCATCAGCCCACCCAGCATCGATTCGTTGTCCTAGATACGAAAATTGGGTGTCTGCCCTGCCGCAAGCCGAAATTGTTTTGCGTGGAAAGATTTTTGTCCATTTTGGCGTCTTAATAATCGTGTCATACCCTCTTGTATTGTGGAATTTGATAGAAGTTGAATGCAACAGCAACAAAATTCAATAAGCATGTCCGCAAATTAAATTTCATTTATCGAAACAACATATATTTTCAACAAAGAAAAATATAAAATGTTCAATTCCAAAGAAAAATACCTACTCATTGATTGCATGTGGCGCGGTTTCATAGTAAAATTGTTATCAAAAACCAGCATCAAGTTCAATTATAATTTCCCGGAAAACTGAATCAAAAGGAGAAAATATTTTTAAGGTAATGCAAACGTTTCTATAAATAACAATAAAATAAAACAGAAACACCTACTGCAATTGCGTTACATTATTCAAAACTCTTTTATCACATTTCCATTGTTCGTTCAGCTGAAACAATAAATATCTCGTTTTAATTAACTGATTCTTTGAAACTCGTCCATTAATATTGTGCTTCTATTACATTTGCACCCATTCGTATATATTCGCCGTTCTCGCTGACCTAATTACATACACTCCAGAGTCCAGGAAATAGGAGTAGGTTTGATTTCTATTGTCAGATAATCCTTTTGCAGAAAATGTTGGACTCATCACTAACAGTAAAATAAATAGTCCATAGTTAATTACTTTCTATTTGTTCTCCCGGAAAACGTATTAGTTTGAAATTTTAAGGGTAGTTAGATGAAAGGTTGGAAGTTATTTGAAAATCATTGGAGTTGGGAGAAAATAGTTTTTAATGTTAAGAAAACACGCCATTTCCTAGTTTAGAAAATAGATTATCAATTATTGTTTATTTTGCCTTTCGTTTAATTATGCATTGAAATTTTAAATTTTCTCACCAGATAATGTAACTTGATGATGATTCATATTTTGTTGGCGATTTAATTTTATCGGGTACAAATTCGATTTGCAACAAACTGATTGCCGCAAAAAAAAAATCGTCCATTCCCGAAGGGATATATATTTTTTTGAATATCCGAATGAGGGTTTTATTGCTTTGATTTGGGTAGGAACAGTTTCGAACAAGCCTCATCAAAAAAAGGGGGTTTTATTTAAAATACAATCGTATCTACATAAATTATGTAATACTCACACGATATTATGCTAAACTTAATATTAAATTCATGCTGGAATAAAGGGGGGTAGCAAATATTGCTCTAAGTCTTAATGGGTTGCGTAGACTCAACAATGTAAAAGGGGTGGGAAAATATGCCAGTAACGTTACAGGATTTTGAACTTGCTTTGGGAATTTTAAAGAGATGATTTATGATAAAAGATAACTTGAAAGTGTAACAAAACTCTTAAACTTAGATCGTCTCTATTTTGAATATTATTAAAATAATATAATTTCTGAAAAGTAGAAGCAACCAACTCATGCACTAACTTTAGTTTATGAATTAAACTTACTTAACTATTCACAGAAGTATAACCTCAAATATAAACGGCAAAGCTTAAAAAACACTACCCTCTAATAAAAGCCACAAGTTTTTTTTCTATCACGCAAATCCTTACATAATCTCTACTCGCACAAGCATTCTCGTACGATAAACTAAACCGACATAATCCAGCAACAATTTCTGTACATGAAGACACACACGAGTTTCGAAACGAGGAAAAGCTGAGTGGGGCTGCGTACGAGCAGCTCTATAGTCTGGCACTGAGGAGGATTCGTTCTTTGTGGCGCACGGTATCGACCGTTTTCACCCTCAACGGAGGGCGAATTTCGAATGTCCTGTAGCGCTATGCTGTTGTCCTGCTGTACGAAATTCGCTAACGCGGGTATTATTCGTGTATTTACATCCACATTGTTTCTTTTTTTGAGGGTTTCAACTGGTGGCGTTTGTGTTGTGGAAAGGTTATTTTTAAATGGCTGCAGCATTTAGGGGCATGCAAACCTGATATAAAAGTAATTGTGTTTGATAAGAAAATAATTAGTGAGTAGGTATTCAAATTAATGTGTGAACCTACTCACTAATATTATTCTATTCGCCGTCTCAAAGGCTCAAAAACACATATATGTATTAAAATCAGTTGTCTTTACATAATAGTCAAAATCACAAGAAGAGACTAGACGAGGACAGTTATGGACAGGCAGAAATAGGAAAAGATAGAAGAGATTATTCGTGGGCCTTGTTAGATGTATCAGATTCCTGACGCTGGTTTGTCGATGCATTCTCTTAACACTGCCTTATAACGTACTTATTTGGCAATTGCCTAATTATACTGCTACGGCTAGTCAGCTTCAGTTCGGAGGCCATGGGTCTATGGGTTCCTTTTATACATCTTATCTCTGGGCGCCACCAAGTTAATTGTGACTTAACTAGGAAGATTACTTATTGATGTTATATCAAAACCTGTGCAATTGGATTATCAATAAAAAAACTAATTAGGTACAATAATGTATCTGGTTTTCTTTATTAAAAAATAATAACAATATTAAATAGGGATAGCCAGGACGTTATTAAAAAGGTGTTTAGGATTAGGCTTGTACCTTATTCGTAAATATTTGAATAAATAAAAAAAGTATGTAAATAATAAATCTATGAATTTAAAATAAACACTGTTTATTAACATTTGTGAAGGATTAAAAGAACAGTAAGGGGTTACACACTACCAACAGGCAAATTAAATACAGAAAGGTGAAAGTTATTCTTTGGGCAACCTCAGGGTAAAATTCTAGAATTTTATTTAAGGGGCACGTACTGACGTAATTCGGTGTCAGATGATTTACATAAGATTTGCCTATATAGTAAAAGTGCAACTTACATGTATACAAGTGAAATGCATGTGAAAATCCAGAAGTTTCCAAAGTGAGATTATCTACAGGTTCGGCCTCACTATAGATAGACTAAGGTGTGGTAAGTGAGTTCTATAGGAGCCCTATCCACGTTGTATCCATTTAACGTAGAACTCCACATGGTTCTGTCAGAATGGTACCAAGAGAATCGCTGAAGAAAGGCTACCAAAGCCCCAACTGAGAGCAATCTAGATCCAGTCTAGAATCTCTCTAAATACAGCCCAGGAGCTGTCTAGGTATAGCCTAGAGTCTTCCAAGTATAACCTGGCACTAGGACCCTATAACGATGTTCGTATAAAAAAACAGATCGAGCCCCAAATATTAGAAATAATCTTACCTCAAACTGAGGGATACTCTAGACCAGTCTTAAACTTCCAAAAGCTGCTCGGAACAGTCCTATTAAAAAAAATGGAACAACACGTGTTGTAGGTTAATATTTCCTGAAGAAAATCTCAAAACTTACCGAAACAGAATCCAAAAATGACCAAGGGACGACTCTAGACAATTATCAATAAGAAATTAATCTAAAACTTGAGCTCCCTGGCACAAAATTCCAAAAAGTCTCGCCCCAAAAAAATAATTCAGGGCCGAGGCCCGAGACCGGACGACTACTCAGCGTGAGGTCGCAGATCAAAAGGGGCAGATTCTTCATTTAGATTTCGGAAGAAGGCTTTCATCTGTCAAACTTCTAATTTTGACAATGAAGAAAATTATAGAAAAAGGCGTGTTCAGTTTCACCCCAAGAATACGAACTGGAAGTTCGGTTGTGTAAAAATGGCTGGTGAATGTTGAAAAATGCCTATAGAATATATATCAAAAAGTAGAACAGGTCTAACGAAAACGCCTAGACAAAATAGCTGTTCAATGACATGATGGAAATGAAAAATCAAAGAGTAAACAACAATTATTATCATAACCTCAGATTATTGATTGGATTTGCAAACAGAGATGATGATGGTACTACCTCCTTTTCCAAAGATTCTAATCAATAACAGCGGGCCCTGCAGTACTGAATCAAACCTTCCTAGATCAATCAACCAAACTTGCAAACCTGCACCAAAAAAACTTTCAGTAGAAGGCAGTACTCAAGGTAACAAAATCTGGGCACAGAAAAGATAGTTGTTTCTTCATTTATTCCTTTATAGTTCTATACGGAACCATATCGACCAGAGCAAAACAAGGTAGCATATTAGCCAAGAAATTGAAAACGTTACAGCCTTGGCACCATGTCTTGAACATCTGGTAATAATTTTGCTTGTGTGTGCAAAACTGATTGCGTTTTGTATGTGGTTAATTAACTCGCGTTATTTACTACTGTACATATTAATGTTTTCTAAAATTAAATTCATCATTAAGATAGTTTGAATATTTTGATTATCCGTCGAAATAATTCTTATCTTATCTGGAATTAATATCGTATTATTTTCGATATTTGAAAATTGATCATGAAATGTTTTCTTGTTCAAGTATCTACGTTTGTTTGATCTTTTAGATTTTTTTTCGGTAGTTTTCTGATTCTCATTTAACGTTTGAATATTAGAATCATATCTGTCACCGTCATTCGCGTCTAATGTACCATACAGCCATTTTTGTGCTGTACCAATGAAATTGAATACTCCACATTTATTTCGTTCGTGTGAAAATTGTTTTAAAACCATTTTAAGTATTGTTTAAATTCTTTAAAGTTATTTCGAGAGTTTTAATACGTTTCCCAATAAGGTTAGTATCAATGAGATAACATGCAGTGTTATGTTGTGTTGTGATGTAAGTGGTTCCTATAGAAATCGGTAAAATAGGATTTCTTAATGGAAACGTGTAGGCATTACTGGAAATTCCTATGAGGAGGATGATGGAAGCTATCAGGAACATTTTGGTTTTTCTGAAACAAAATGTTGTCGCATCACCATTTGTTTGCTAAATCTGACTTGTGTTTTAGTACTATATCGAGAACTAATTTTATTTCTGTCAAATTGCCTAATGAAAATAGGATCCCTTAATTCAGGTTCTTTTTCACTTTGTTTATTAATTTTCTCTAAATTCTGTGTTTATCTTAAAATTAATTTGTCATGAATTATATTATTTAGAGTTTCTAATGATTCGGCAAGATTATTGATATAATCTGTGGTTATCTTATTTTGTGAATTCTCAATAGGTATTGAATAATTTAAATCGCCTTTCATTATGTATGTATGCTGTTAGTATAGTATAAGATTGCAATTGCCATTAGGTAGTTAATGTTTTTATTAGGGCTTTGTAATTTTAAGCTTGTTAAACTTTATCTCAAGGTAGAATAGAATCTCTCAATAGGACCATTTGAATTAGGATTTCGAGGTGTCGTATAATGAAATTCGATTTTATGTACAGTACATAAATCTGTTACAATTGCATTTTCAAATTCAGTTCTACACCGGATTAATTTAGATCCGGGTTCCTTAACAGAGAATAACCATTGAGGATAAACCACTTCAGGTCAGATAAAATTGTAAATTTCTGTCTAAATAAGTATGGTCTAAAGTACTTAGTTGCCCATACTACAATCCTAGAAATTATTTAGTTTCCTTTACGGTTTTTGAGATTGGAAATTTTTTCATAGCTTTGATTTTCTTTGGGTTTGGTTTAATACATTTGGGGTTATTACATGTCCCACGAATTCTACTGATTTCTCAAAGAATTCTGATTTGTCTAATTGGATTTTTAGATTGAATTGTTCTAATCTTTCAAATATCTTTTCTTGACATATTTTGTTTTGTAGACCGATTAGAACGGTGTCCATTACTCTTTGAAATGTTGCTGGGGCATTCTTTAATCCAAAGGGCATACGATTAAATTCATAATGTCCATTTTCTACATTGAAAGCTGTTTTACTTATTGAGTTTGGATGCATTTCAACTAGGTGGAATCCAGAACTCTAGAGTAGTGAAATAATTACTTCTTCCAAGTCTGTCGAGAATGTCTGTTATATTTGGTAATGGGTATTGATCATCTATCGTTTTTTTATTGGTTTTTGTATAATCTACGACCATTCGCCATTTTTTTATGCCTGAAACATCTAACTTTTTAAGTACAAGTCAGACAGGGGATGACCACGCGTCTGTGGATGGAATAGCAAGGAAAATTAATCCAAAATTTTCACATCAGAAAATAGGATCCTTTAATTCAGGTTCTTTTTCACTTTGTTTATTAATTTTCTCTAAATTCTGTGTTTGTCTTGAAATTAATTTGTCATGAATTACATTATTTAGAGTTTCTAATGATTTGGCAAGATTATTGATATAACCTGTGGTTATTTTATTTTGTGAATTTTCAATAGGTATTGAATAATTTACGCCTTTCATTATTTGAAAAGGTGTATAACCTGTAACACTATATATGCTGTTATTATAGTTCAAGATTGCAATTACCATTAGGTCATTAATATTTTTATTAGGGCTTTGTAATTTCAAGCTGGTTAAACTTTCTCTCAAGGTAGAATGGAATCTCTCAATAGGACTACTCGAATTAGGATTTTGAGGTGTCGTATAATGAAATTCGATTTTATGTACGAATTCTACTGATTTCTTAAAAAATTATGATTTGTCTAATTGGATTTTTAGATTGAATTGTTCTAATCTTTCAAATATTTTTTTAAGATTTGCAATATGTTCTTAACACATTTTGTTTTGTAGACCGATTAGAACATTGTCCATTACTCTTTGAAATGTTGCTGGGACATTCTTTAATCCAGAGGGCATACGATTAAATTCATAGTGTCCATTTTCTAAATTGAAAGCTGTTTTACTTATTGAGTTTGGATGCATTTCAACTTGGTGGAATCCAGAAGGTAACTCTAGAGTACTGAAAT